TTGTTTAAACTTTCCTTTTTCGCTTTTTCTGCTTTGTCTTCTCCGAAACATATAATAGCAATTATATAGTTAGAGCAAATCATTAATTAATTAGTTAATCCAATACATTTTTGTTGATTGACTATGATGTGCCAGGCATTATACACTAGGGATAGACTAGTTGAACAGAACACACAACTGTCTCTAGGACCATGGCCTCAAACATTTAAGTTAGTAAATTCTATTACCATAATGAATTATCATACATGTATAGATTGTATATCTTAAAGATTTTTGTGAGTTAGATGAAGTTTTCCCTTTTTGCAATTCAGGTTGATTTACTTTTAATCATTATTCAGGGAAAAAAAGTCAAACTATTGACGTTCATTGGAAACTTTAAGCATGTTTTGTGCACGATGCAGAATATATTTGTTCTATTTTTACGGTAATAGTTTCCGATCATTTAGGACAAAGTTTCTTTCTCAGTTATGCTTGCTGCCTGCAAATGTAGTTTCTAATACAAGTCCCTTGTTATGCCAGGAATTTTATTTTCATTTCTGCTTGATAGTCTCAGTTTTCTTAAGAAGATATGTATAGATTAATTAGTACAGTCGAGAAGAATAGTTGTCTTGTTTGCTACCCACAGCAATGAAACAGCATACCATTCTGCTGTCTAGGGATCTAGTCCAAAAAGTTTTTTTTAAGAGTAGGGAAAGTAAAAGAAAGAAAGAAAAGTAGAAAAACGAGTGTTGAACCTAGAGTGTATGAGGATGCTTTTAGGGAATTAAAATTACAGGTGGTTCTGGAAACCTAATATATGAGGGCTGTCTGGAAAGTATCCAGCCATTGTTAATATAACAAGAACAGGTACATGGCTGGATATTTTCCAGACAGCCCTCATATGTGTAGACGTCTAATCTTTTCAACTACATGAAAGACTTAGTAGAAATCAAACGAAAGTTAGGACCTGCATGTATAATTTAGACGCATTATCTTTTGTTGGATAGACCACTAAGATAGAAATCCTTTTTTTTTTTAAGTGACAGTGTTGTGCTCTGTCACCCAGGATGGAGTGGAGTGCAGTGGTTTGATCAAAGCTCTCTGCAGCCTCAAATGCCTGGGCTCAGGCAGTCCTCCCACCTCAGCCTCCTAAGTAGCTGGGACTACAGGCGCACACCACCACAGTTCGCTAATTTTTTTTTTTTTTTTTGGTAGAGGCAAGGTCTCACTGTGGTGCTCAGACTCATTTTGAACTCCTGGCATCAAGTGATCCTCCTGTCTTGGCCTTCCAAAGTGCTGAGATTACAGGTGTGAGCCACACCGCTCTCTGCCTGAAGCATCCTTTGAAAAATTCTTTGAAACATTTTACTGTCAATTTTTATACATAACTGACCTGTTTATAAATTTCTACAAAATATATGTCTGAATATGTCTGTTAGTATGGAAAATAAAAACTGTCATTTAAATTAAATCATACCATAAATATTTAAAAATATTCAGGGATTTTAAAAGTTAAGTTTACTTATTCATTGAATTTTTTTAACTTATAAAGAGTAAATAGAATCTGAACCTAATCATAGGACTTTAACTTGGCTCAGTTCCCCAAATTTCTAAGCCCTAGGTTTTGTTGTTGTTTTTGAAAGAGGTGAATTGTCACTTTAGAATGTCTTGGAAAATTTGGCTAACAGTATGGTAGTTTGTATTTATTAGACATCAAAGAATATCAGGATTTCCAGATGACACTGTGATTTATATAGCATAAGATATGGGAGACCTATTAATTTAGGAATTCGTTTCAGAACAGACCACTGGAAAATTTATGTAAAAAGACTGCCTAGCTATAGCAATAAATGATTGTTAAGTGCCGTTATTAAGTGAATGAAGGAGCATATGTTGGTACATCAGACAAGCCTTATTCTCACAATATTGATATTGTGATTACTATTTTTGCAGGCAGATTTTCAAGGCATAACACTAAGAAATTTACTGCTTCTTCACATATATTCATGTATTTTTGAGACTTTAGCTTAGCTTTATCCTCTCTCACTTTTCATTTTCTAGTTAGAGAAAAATCTATTATTTTCTTTCTTTTTCAAGTATATTACTGTACATAATTTTGTTTCATTCCAAGGAGTTATTTCATGACATTTTGTTTTAAATGATCAGTCTTCTCAGTTATATCCTTAACAAGTGAAGTATGTCTTCCATTTTGATAGATTACTTTTTCCTACAAATATCCCTTTTTGTTTGCTTTAAATTTTAAAAGTAGGCCAGGCATGGTAACTCATGCCTATAGTCCCAGCACTTTGGGAGGCCAAGGCCCGTTGATTGCTTAAGGCCTGGAGTTCAGGACCAGCTTGGGCAACACAGCAAGATCCCATCTCTAAAAATATAGGAAAAAAATTAGCTGGGCATGGTGGCATGTGCCTATAGTCCCAGCTACTCAAGAGGCTGAGGTAGGAGGATAGCTTGAGCCCAGGAGTTTGAGGTTACAGTGAGCTATGGTAAGGGCAGTGTACTCCAGTTGGGTGACAGAGTGAGACCCTGTCTTTATTAAAAAAAATTAAAATTTTATCAGAATGTATACGCAAATTAGTTTCCTGAACAGCAATTTTATAGTTTTTAAAAAATGTTATTCTCTGAAGTTGAATATTTAAAGTTTTCTATATCATATATGCAACAAACTGCTGAGTTTTAATTCTGTCAGGCACTGTTCTAGGCACTGGGAAAAAGCAGTGAAGAAAACAGACAAAATTCCTCAACCTCATGGAGTTTTCATTCTTGTGTTGGGGACACAAACCACAAGTAAAAAAGTAAATGTCAGGAGGAGTTTAGGCAACACCAAATGTGTCTCCTCGTGCCAGTTGGAACTCCTAGGCAAAGGACTGAAAGACTCTACTGTTTGCTCTTCTCTAGGCATCCAGGGGAGGGTGATTGGGCCAGACACAGTTGGACACTGGATTATCTTCTTGGAAAGGGACCATCATGCTGCTGTTCATATATTTTGGAACTACAGAGGACCCTCAACTGAAACAATGAGGGCTTTTGCAGCTATGAGAGTGGCTGCTAATAGAGAAAAACATCTTACAACTAGACATCAGCTGATAATACTTGGAGATACGAGAGTTCAAGGTTTTGCGCTGCTTCTTGCATGGGAGGTTCTGGAACCAATGTTCCCAGCTAGCTCTTGCAGCCAACTTAGAGAGCTCTACCAGAGGGTTATTCAGTGGACAGGTCTATTTGTCTCTCTTCAGTCTGCCCCCCTACCCAGGAGGCTAGTTAAACATAAGCCTTTCCATCAGTGACATGGACTAATGGGCCTTATCCATATAAAAAATTAGAAGAAAGAGAGGATTGTTCATCCACTGATTGTTCATCCACCTCTTTCATAAACTTCCTGGCGTTGGACATGTTCATTACTCACCAATCAGGGTCTGTCATCTCCCTCTGGGATGAATTCAATTATCTGTCTTTTTTCCCCAAATAATAAATTTCACAAGTACTTAAGAGTCACTATTCTGCCATTACAAGAAGCTTTCAGGGACAGAGGAGGATGGCTGGAGGATCACTCAATGCAAAGTTAGTGAACACGTTCCTACTCTTCCAGGTTATCCAGCAATAGCAGAGGTCACAATGAGGAAACCCAACTGTCTTAGTCCATTCATGCTGCCCTAACAGAATTCTGTGGACTGAGTGGCTTATAAACAAAAGAAGTTTATTTCTCACACTTCTGGAGGCTGGGAAATCCAGCATAAAGGTGCAGCAGATTTGGTGTCTGGTGAAGGGCCTGCTTCCTGGTTTACAGATGGTGGTCTTCTTGCTGTGTTGTCACATGGCAGAAGGGGTGAATAAGCTCTCTGGGATCCCTTTTATAAGGGAACTGATCCTGTTTATGAGGGGTCTGCCCTCATGACCTAACCACCTCTCAAAGGCCCTACTTCCTAATGCCATTACCTTGGGCATGAAGATTTCAGCATATGAATTTTGGGTGGACACAAGCATTCAAATCATAACACTGACCATCATATTGTGTTGGTGCACTTATGCTGGACCCAGAGGAATAGCAGTCATAGTCTAGTCAAAGAAACCTCTTAGCTTCAGCATCTCCAGTGGGAGTCTTCTCCAGAGGACTTCTTATCTTAATCTACCAGATTGTTCTCTTCTATTAATGACTATGGGGGCTGCCCTGCTATTACTTCTACTCGTATTATATTCCAGAAAATCTCTTAGGTCCATTGTGGTTTTTGCATCAACCCATAATTTCTATTTTGTTTGCTTTTCTTTGGAGCTCCATAGTTTGTCATTATTATTGTCTTGTGCAATCAGTGTTCATATAAAGAAATAACACAGATATAATATTAGGGTTGTAATGGACACGCTAGGTGAGTCTGGAAAGGCTTTAGAAAGGAGGAAGCATTTGAGGTAAGGTTTGAAGGGCAGAGAAGCAGGGAAAAAAGACATTCCTGACCATGTGTCACGGAAGGATAAAAAGGTATGGTATTCAGGCAATGGTGAGAAGTTTTGTGTGCCTGCCTGGGAGTATGTAAGAATTGTAGGAGATAACTCTGGAGAGGAGTGTTGAAGCAGGTACCTTAGAATCATGTAAGGAATCTCCTGACCTAGTTTAGAGGCAGAAGCACAGTAAGTGACAGGTGACCTACCCATATTCGTAGTTTTAAAATCTCTTATAATAAATATTTTTATATTTACTGATATTAAAAATGTTGATTATATCTTCTTTCATTTATGTGCCTTTAAGTAGTTTCCTCCCATCCACTATCTAATTTCATCCTAATAATATCTGAATGGCACAGCTTTGGAAATATAGTATTCTCATCTTACAGATATGGAAACTGAGGTATGGAGAGCTTACATGATTTATTCACAGTCACATGGCCATGCTTAGAGCAATGCCAGATCTTCAGATTTTTAATTCTATATCCTTGTTGGATTTTATTTGTGTATATATGCCTTTTGTGTTTCTCCCCCCTCAATTTATTGTGTTTTTCTTTTCTCCGTAGGACTTGGCTTTTACCCTGGAAGAGAGACAGCAGTTGAACATTCATGGATTGTTGCCACCTTGCTTCAATAGTCAGGAGATCCAGGTCCTAAGAGTAGTTAAAAATTTTGAGCGTCTGGACTCTGACTTTGACAGGTAACATGATGATTTTTTTTTTTTTTTTGAGACAGAGTCTTACTCTGTTGCCCGGCCTAGAGTGCTGTGGCGTCAGCCTAGCTCACAGCAACCTCAAACTTCTGGGCTCAAGCGATCCTCCTGCCTCAGCCTTCTGGGTAGCTGGGACACAGGCATGCGCCACCATGCCCAGCTAATTTTTTCTATTTTTAGTTGTTTGGCTAATTTCTTTCTATATTTAGTAGAGACGGGATCTCGCTCTTGCTCAGACTGGTCTCGAATTCCTGACCTCAAGCAATCCACCTGCCTTGGCCTCCCAGAGTGCTAGAATTATAGGCGTGAGCCACTGCTCCCGGCCACATGATGATTTTTATATTTGTCTCATGCAATTGTCTAGGTTATTTTTTATTGGATGATAAAATTAAAATATTAGTAATTTGGAAAGGGTAGTCAACTTTGGGGAGAATTTGCCTATAAATACAATAATGTTTGCAAAAAATTTATCATCTCTAGAAACACTTTTTTTTTTTGAGACAGAGTCTCACTCTTTTGCCTAGGCTAGAGTGGTGTGGCATCAGCCTAGCTCACAGCAACCTCAATCTCCTGGGCTCAAGCAATCCTTCTGCCTCAGCCTCCCCAGTAGCTGAAACTATAGGCATGTGCCATCATGGCCAGCTAATTTTTTTTTTCTGTATATTTTCAGTTGTCCAGCTAATTTCTTTCTATTTTTTTAGTAGAGACGGGGTCTTGCTCTTGCTCAGGCTGATCTCTAACTCCTGAGCTCAAACGATTCTCCTGCCTTGGCCTCCCAGAGTGCTAGGATTACAGGTGTGAGCCACCGCGCCCAGCCTCTAGAAACATTTGAATGAAATAAAATTTCCTTTCTCAACTGTATCCTCAGAGAGACTACATTTCTCTTATGATAAAATTGTTGCTATAAAGGTAAGTTATCAGGAAATGCCACCCTAAACAGAGAAAAACAGGTTAAAATGGCTTTTAGTCAGACTTTAAGTACATTGTAGGTGAAAGAGCACTCTTTCAGCCTGCAAGCTTTGTTCTAACTCTATTGCAAATTTAGGTCACTTCCTTTGTTTAGAATTCAGTTTCTGTGTTTGCACAAAGATAAAGGCAATATATTTTTCCTGCCTTTGGAATTAGATAGCTCTAGGTTGAAATTCTGGCTCTATCTTATCGGCAATGGATCCTTGAGGAAGCCACTATGGCCACTGCCATGAACATTATAAGTGCTTTGCCCTCTGTTTTTGACTCCTCCCTTTCTTCTTAAGATATTGAACCTCTGTAAATGTCAGTTTTTTCATCTGTGGATTGGAGAGAATAATAGCTATTTGGAAATATTGTTGTGAGTGTTAAAAGTAGTTAACCCAATATCTAATAAGTATTGGTATTAATCAGGCTTCTCCAGAGAAACAGAATGATTATGAATGGGGGGAGGAAAGAGAGAGAGAGACAGAAACAGGCACACAGAGAAACAGTAAAAAATCTGCAGGTAGTCCCACAGGCTGGAGACCCAGGGAACAATTGCAGTTGCGTCCAAAGTCAGTGTGCTGGCAGAATTCCTTTTTGCCAGAAGGGAGGTTAGTCTGTTCTATTAAGAGTTTCAACTGATTGAATGAGGCCCACTCACATTATGGAGGATAATCTGCTTTACTCAAAGTCTACCAATTGAGGTGTTAATTTCACCCAAAAAACACTTTTGCAGAAACATCCAAAACAGTGTTTGACCAAATATCTGTACACCCTGTCTGTATGGACTGAATGTTTATGACTCCCCACAAATTCATATGTTGAAATCAATATGAAGTTATTTGGAGATGGTGCTTTGGGCAATGATTAGGTCATAAAAGTGGAGCCTTCATAAATAGGATTAGTACTCTTATAAGAAGAGGTTAGAGAGCTGGCTCCTTCCTCTTTTTGCCATGTGAGGATACAAGAAGTCAGCCATCTACAGCCTGGAAGAGGCCCCTCACCAGCACCCACGCATGCTGGCCCTATGATCTTAGACTTCCAGCCTTCAGAACTATGAGAAATAATTTCCATTGGTGATAAGGCACCCAGTTTATGGTATTTTTTTATAGCAGCCAAGCTAAGACATTGTCCCAGCCAAATTGACACGTAAAAGTAACCATGCAAGTCGACTCCTTGCCAACTTGGCATCTGCTATGCTGTGAATGATTGTGTCCTCCCAAAATTCTTATGTTGAAGTCCTAACCCCTAAGGGGATGATATTAAGAAGTGGAGCCTTTAGGAGGTTATTAGATTATGAATGAGATTAGTGCCCCACAGAGCTGCCTTGCCCCTTCCACCATGTAAAGATGCAACCAGAAGATGCTGTCTATGAGGAATGGGTCTTTGCCAGATTCTGAATCTGCCAGTGCCTTGATCTTAGACTTTTCAGCCTCTGGAACTATGAGAAATAAATTTCTGTTGTTCATAAGCTACCCAGTGTGTGGTATTTTGTTAGAGCAGCCTGAATGGACTATGACAACACTGATGTGCATCTCCTTAAATCATACTTAATCTCTGAATAAAGACATTAACAAAGTCATTCTTTCACCTAACATGACAAAACCATCCCGCATACAACTGAAAATGCACCTACCCTTTCCTCAGAAGGGTAGGTGTTTTTTCTTCTCTCTGATGTCTCTTAACTTAAAAACTATAGTGTAAAGTTAGCATTACATAAATACTGTGATATAAAGTCAGTATGTCTTCTGTTACCTGATAAGGTGATAAGAGAGGGAAGAAAATGATGTTTGCTTATCTTTGTATATAGATATTTGCTTATATATGTATATACATATAAATATATTCATAAAAAATAAGGAAGAAATACTTATGACAATTATAGTCCTTGTTTCTATAATTGGTCAAATGGTCTTAGCTGGTGTTTATAACTACCTTCTTCTACTACCCCTTCCATACTCCCTTTGCCTTCAGCAAGCAGCTGAGCTGGTTATGGTTCTTTACCTGTTTCGGAGACTCAGACCTTCAGTCCTGAATGGTCTGGGCCGTTAGTAGTCCTGCCTGAGTTGGGTTGTAGTTTCCATTGGCTTTGATCACAGGGCATGATAATACTAAAAGATACTTGAAGGGAGCTCCTGAATTTCGAACTTACTCTTTCTGACCTCCACTGTAGTGCAGCAGTCCAGTTTCCTCTTGGTAGTCAGGCTCAATCCCTCCCAGCCAGCATAGTAACTCGCTTCTTGGCCTGTTGATTCAGAGGTGTGTGGTGCCCAAGTGGCCAGGTGACAGTCTTAACTTCCTGTTCAGTGGGTTCATTATTGTGTTTCTTGGTGGAAACTTCCCTTTGGAACTAAGACCTCTAAGCGAGCAGAGCATAAGGTGACAGGGAGAGAAAGCGAAATTTTGGTAGTGGGTCACTTGTTAGTGAGCGGTGCCACTCCCATTTCCACCCCTTGATTCCTAAATCCATGAATCCTGGCTGTGGGAGAAACAGCACCACCATTCATTGGACACTGACTTAGAGCATATACAGCCTCCTTGAGAACCTTGCCCCAGCTTTGAAAGGTATTGCCAGCTTGCTGGTGCTATAACTGAGTCCTCAAAAGGACATCCTACTGTTGTATCAAGCCACCTGCTTCAGATTAGTGGGAAACATTGTAAAACCAGTAAATTTCATGAGCTTATTGCCACACTTTCATTGGCTATGAAGTGAGTTTGATTAGAAGCAATGCCGTGTGGAAAATGATGATGGTGGATAGGTGTTTTGTAAGTCCACAAATGTAGTAGCTTTGGCAGAAGCATTGCATGAAAGGGAAGGCACATCTGGATCCAGAGTAAGTATCTATTCCAGTAAAAACAAAATGCTGCCCCTCCCATGAATGAAACTGTCCAGTGTAATCAACCTGCCACCAGGTAGCTGGCTGATTACCCTAGAGAAGATGCCTTATCAGGCAGGATTCAGTGTTGGTCTCTGCTGCTGGCAAATTGAGCACTCAGCAGTGGCTGTAGCCAGGTTGGCTTGGTGAGTGGAAGTCCGTGTTGCTGAGCTCATGCATAACCTCCATCCTTGCCCATGGCCACTTTATTCATGAGCCCATTGGATATGACGAGGTGGCTGAGCAAAGAGTCTGACTCAATTTTTCCAGTGTGTATAAATTTGCTTCTTTTTAAGCTCCTTGACAATCTTCTCTTTTACTTGTTCCTGAAATTCTTCCTTTAGCCTCTTATATCTTTACTTTATATTCTTTTCCTGGGCCATTTTATCAGCTACCTGCTAAAAACTGGTGACTTTCACATTTTTACTATAGACTATTCCTCAAATATACCTTGAGCATCAACTCAGTGTCAGATACTTTTTTAGATATTAGGATTATAGGCAATCATCTCTGCCCTCACAGAATTGACATAAATTATTAAAAAATTATTTAAAAATTATAAACAGTAAAAACATTATTAAATTATATAATATGTTAGAAAATGACTAGTGCTATGAGCAAAAAAAAGAAAAGGTAGAGTAAAGAGGGACTGAGAATGCTGGGGGTAGTTACGGCCAGTTTGCAGTGTTAAATGGGGTGATAAGGGTAGCCTTCATTGAGAAGCTGAGTTTTAAGCAAATATTCAAAGACGGTGAGGCAGTTAGCAGTGAAATCTGAGGAACAGTGTGCTGGCATGTTCAAGGATCAGCAGGGAGACTGTGTCTGGAGCAGAATGAGCTGGGGGGAAATGGTAGGTTAGAAAAGAAAGTTAGCAAGGTAGTGGGGGACAGATTATGCTTTGTAGGCCACTGAAGGACTTCTGCTGTTACTCTGAGTGAAAAGGGAAGCCTTTTGGGATTTTGAACAGAAGATCAACATGATCTAAGCTATATTTCATAAAGACTGGCTGCAATGTTGAGAATAGAAATGCAGACTGGGAGAACTTTTAGACTGTTAAAATAATCCAGGCAAGAGTTGATGGTGATTTGGATCCAGGGTAGTAGCAGCGAAGGTGGTCAGATTTTGGATACATTTTGAAGGTAAAGCCAACGTAATTTCCTAATGTATTACACATGAGTGCTAGAAAGCTTTCAGAGATCAGGATAAAATGACAAAGAAACAGAAAAGGAATGGACCAGTGAGATAGTAGGAAAACCAAGAGAATACGATGGACTGAAAGTCAAGGAAAGAAAGTGTGTTGAGCTCTAGGTAATGTCACCTATGTCAAATGTCCTGTTAAGTAAAGTGAGGTCTGTGAATTGACCATTGATTTAGCAGTGATGACTTCCACATTGCTAAATCAGTTATTAGTTAAATCTAAAATTAAAATTATCATCTTTCTTCCAAATGTTCATTTCCTGGATATGTCTATCTAATTGCCCAAGCGTTAGATTCCGTGAATCTCTGACTCCCAATTCTGTGCATTTTCAGTTACTCTAAAGAATAGAAATCAATAAAGATTCTTTTAAATTATACCAAGACAGTTTGAGTTCTATTCTATAAACTACTGAAGGCTACAAGTAATATGAAGAAGTCTATAGACAGAAAGATAACTGGTTCAGAAGTGCCTCTAGAAAGAAAAAGGCCATTAGATACAAACAGTGAGAAAAGTCCCTTGAACTTGCCTACCTTAGTTATTTTTAGGGTGAGTGCTACAATCCCTTACTCATTTCTTGTGCCATTTCCCTTGGTTATTCAGTACTACAAGTTAAAGGATGAAGTTTTTCTATTTACTTTGTTGAGTTAATGTTAAACTATTATATATCTATAATGGTATTTTCATCTTTCATTTTAAAATAGGGATAAGTCTCCTCAAGTATTGAATAAAACTGCTATTTCAGCAATGGTTTTAATGTTTGAATGATAGTAATCAAGTTTATGGTTCTTTATTTTTTGAGATGTTTAAGAATATTTATAAAGTTGTTTTTGATCAGAATTTTTCTTTTCTCTTTTTTTTTTAGGCTGGTTAAGTGAAGCAGTCAGATTTTTTTTCTGTGTAACCTAAAACATACTTTATACTTGGTTGAAAATGTTTAACTAGATTTCAAAGCAACTGTTTCATGACTTTGTGGGATGTAGATCTAATTATGTCCAATTTCCACAGGTATCTTCTCTTAATGGATCTTCAAGATAGAAATGAAAAGCTCTTTTATAGAGTGCTAATGTCTGACGTTGAGAAGTTCATGCCTATTGTTTATACTCCCACTGTGGGTCTGGCTTGTCAACAATATAGTTTAGTGTTTCGGAAGCCAAGGTATGTCAACTTTTATTTTAAATATAACTTGTGTGTCTTTATTTATTTAGTAAGTTTTTTGCAGGAATTTAAAAATTGTTATTATATTTTAAGTAGACAATAAAAATTGTATATAATGTATATGGTGTGCAACATGATGTTTTGAAACATGTATACATTGTGAAATGGCCAAATCAAGCTAATTAATATATGCATTATCTCACATTCCGATCATTTATTTGTGGTGAGAACACTAAAATCTACTCTCTTAGCAATTTTCAAGTATATAATACATTGTCATTAACCATAGTCACCATGTTGTACAGTAGATCTCTTTAATTTATTTCTCCTTTTTAACTGAAATTTGGCCAACATCTCTACAATCCTGCAACTCCCATATCCCCCAGCCCCTGGTAACCACCATTCTACTCTGCTTCTATGACCTTGACTATGTTTAGATTTCACATGTAAGTGAGATCATGTGGTTATGTGTCTTTCTGTGTGTGGCTTATTCCACTTCACATAATGTCCTACAGGTTCATCCATGTTGTCACAAATGGCAAGAGTTTCCTTCTTCTTTAAGGCTGAATAATATCCCATCGTGTATGTATACCACATTTTCTTTATCCATACATCCATCAAATCCATTACTTTGATTCCATGTCTTGGCTGTTATGAATATGCTGCAATAAACATGACAGTACAGATACCGCTTCAACATACTGATTTCAATTCCTTTGGATAGGTACCCAGTAGTGGGATTGCTAGATTATGTGATAGTTCTATTTTTAATTTTTTGAGGAACTTCCATATTGTTTTCCATAATGGCTGTACTAATTTACATTCCCATTAACAGTGTTACACTTAAAAGGATTTCCTTTTCCCCGCATCTTTGCCAACACTTGTTATCTTTCATCGTTTTTTTTTTTTTTTGAGACAGAGTCTCACTGTGTTGCCCAGGCTAGAGTGCCGTGGCGTCATCCTAGCTCACAGCAACCTCAAACTCCTGGGCTCAAGTGATCCTCCTGCCTCAGCCTCCTGAGTAGCTGGGACTACAGGCATGTGCCACCATGCCTGGCTAATTTTTTCTATATATTTTTAGTTGTCCGATTAATTTCTTTCTATTTTTAGTAGAGACGGGGTCTCGCTCTTGCTCAGGCTGGTTTCGAACTCCTGAGCTCAAACAATCCGCTTGCCTCGGCCTCCCAGAGAGCTAGGATTACAGGCGTGAGCCACCGCGCCCGGCCTCTTTCATCGTTTTGATAATAGCCACTCTAATAAGTAGGAGATGATAACTCATTGTGCTTTCAATTTGCATTTCTCTGATGATAAGTGATATTGGACATTTTTTCATATACCTATTGGTCATTTGTGTGTCTTCTTTTGAGAAGTGTCTATTCAGATTCATTACTATTTTTTAATCAGGTTATTTGTTTTCTTACATTGAGTCGTGTGAGTTCCTTATATATTTTGGATTAACCCCTTATGAGGTGTATGGTTTGCAAATATTATCTCTTACTCCATAGGTTATCTTTTCACTCTGTTGATTGTTTCTTTTGCTGTGCAGAGCTTTTTTGTTTAATGTAATCCTATTTGTCTACTTTTGCATTTGTTGCCTGTGCCTGTGAAGTCGTATCTAAAAAATCATTGCCCAGACCAACTTCAAGGAACTTTTCCCTTATGTTTTCTTCTAGTAGTTTTATCGTTTTGGGTCTTACATTTAGGTCTTTGATCCATTGTGATTTGATTTTTGTATATATTAATAGTAGGAAATAAGGGTCTAATTTTATTCCTCTACATGTGCATATCCAGTTTTCCCAACACCATTTAATGAAGAGACTGTCCTTTACTCATTGTGTATTCTTGGCACTTTTGTCAAAAATCAATTGACTGTAAGTGCATGGATTTATTTCTAGGCTTTCTATTCTGTTCCATTGATCTTTGTGTCTGTTTTTATACTGGTACCATGGTGTTAGGATTACTGTATCATACAGAATATAATGTATTCTATATATAGTAGTATATTTGAAATTAGTATGCTATCTCTAGGTTTTTTCTTTTTGCTCAAGATTGCTTTGGCTATTCAGGGTCTTCTGTGGTTCTGTATGAATTTTTGGATTGTTTCTTCTATTTCTGTGAAAAATGTCATTGAAATTCTGATAGGGGTTGTTCTGATTTGTAGACCTCTTTGGGTAGTATGGACATTTTAACAATATTAGTTCCTCTAATCCATGAACGTGGGATATCTTCCCATTCAATTGTGTCTTCATCAATTTCTTTCATCAGTGTTTTTGGTGTACAGATACTTTATCTCCTTGGTTAAATTTATTCCTAAGTATTTTATTTTTTGGTAGCTATTACTAATGGAATTGCTTTTTTGATTTTTTTGATAGTTCATAGTATATACAAACTTCACTGATTTTTGTATGTTGGTTTTGTATTCTGCAACTTTCTTGAATTTATTTATTAGTTCCAACTGTTTTGACATCATCTTTGGGGTTTTCTGTATATAAGATCATATTGCCTACTAAGATCTTTTAAGTAAGATTAAAAAAAGAAAAAGGAAAAAAAAAGATCATATTGCCTGCCAACAGAGACCGTTGAACTTCTTCCTTTCTGATTTGAGTGTCTTTTATTTCCTTCTCTTGCCTAATTGCTCTGGCTAGCCAGTACTATATTGGACAGAAATAGAGTGGACATCCTTGTCTTGTTCCTGATCTTACAGGAAATGCTTTCAGTTTTTTGCCATTGAGTCTGATGTTAGCTGTGGGCTTATAATATATGGCCTTAAATATGTTGAGGTACATTCCTTTTATACCTAATTTGTTGAGAGCTTTTATCACGAAAGAATATTGAATCTCATCTGTTGCGGCCCGGTTGCAGAACGGGGGATGGAAACAGAAAGAAACACACAGACACACACAAGACGTACAAGACTGCAGTGGCCGATTCCACCAGTCGTTTTATTTATATACTTTTTCTATGTCCGACAGCTACTTCCTGGTATGTGACTACCTTGGGCACCTTGAGGAAAATACATTTTCATTCCTTCCAGACGATTGCTCAATGGAAGCGATGTTTGCATCTTAACTTCTTTATCTCATTACCGTTTGCAGGACAATGAGTCGCCTTGGCTTGTTTGCAAGACCCCAGGTGCTTGGTTATCTGTCATAAAGCTGTCCGTCATGAGGAATAGTTCTGTTTGTTCAATAGGCCGTGTCCGGACCTATCGTCCTTTGGCCCCAAGGAGAGCACATCCAGTTTCACTGACTCTGGGCTTAAGGCAATTTTTGCCCAGGGACGGTCCCTACATCTCCCCCTTTTTTGTTTAATTTTGAGATCGAATATGTTTAAAAACCGTCATGATATTTTGATGGCGTTGATCATTCTTTATTTTCCGGTAGCTCCAGCATCTGTAGACGAGAAATAAACAAATCATGAAAACAAATAGAATTCCAACATTAGTTCCTATACCATTAAGGAAAGCCTGAAAAGAAGTTAAGGGATTAACTTGAGCAAGCCTATTAGCTAGACCTTGGAAGAAATCTTGTTAAAATCCTTGGTCCTGATTCTCTTTGCCATGTAGCCACTTGAGACAGCGAGTGGGGACCCACTCACAGCCCTGCCCTGTGGAGACATAAGCATAACCTCGACCCCATTGTAGAACCTCTCCTTCCCTCTACTCTCCATTCGGCGTGGACACATACACTGGGTCGCAACATTTGACGAGGGAGAGGACGAGGTCGTGAAATGATGTTCTGCTGCAGAGGAATTGAAAGCCTGCCAATGATTTAAAAAATTAAGGGTAAAAAGTGCTCTTAATAGATGGCGTTGAGGAGACTCAGGGACTCCCCCTTTTTGTTTTTGTAATTGGAGTTTCAAGGTACGATTGGCATGTTCAATAATTGCTTGACCTTGACTATTAAAAGGAATGCCTGTAATATGGCGGATGGAATGCAAGGCAAGAAAGGTAGCAAGTTTACGAGAAGTATAGGCGGGGGCATTGTCCGTCTTGAGTATTGCAGGGAGGCCCATAACTGCAAAACAGGAATAAAGATGAGTGATGATAGCGTCAGCCTTTTCAGAACTCTGAGCTGTAGCCCACTGAGAATGAGAATAAGTGTCAATAGTATGATGAACATAAGGAAGGCGTCCAAAAAATGTAACATAGGTAACATCCATCTGCCAAATATGGTTTCCTCTCAAGCCACGTGGATTACAACCTGGTGGCAACGAAGGAAGTGTTAAAGGTGCGCAGGAAGCACGAGAACACACAATAGCACGAACCTGTTTGCGTGAGAGAGAGAAACGTTGCTGAAGTCCCTTCGCATTGGTATGATGAAGTTCATGCTCTTGAGATGCCTGTTGAATAGAAGCGATAAGTAAAGAGTCAATTTTATCATTCCCTCTGGCCATAGGTCCAGGGAGTCCAGAGTGTGAACGAACATGAACAATAAAAACAGGATGGTGATGCATATGAAGTAAGGCCTGTAAATGAGTAAATAAACGTTGCAAAGTGGTTTGGGAATTGAGAGATAGAGAGGCAGTAGGAAGATGAGAAGTAACATAAACAGCGTATTGGGAATCACTGACAATATTAAGGGGTTCAGAGGGAAAATCCTGTAAAACTAAACAGATAGCATATAGTTCACTTTGTTGAACTGAAGGGAAGGGAGAAGTAACAACCTTTGGGCCCATTGTGCTCCAATAACCGGCTTTACAGGAACTTGAGGCATCTGTAAAGAAGGTGGGTCCCTTTAGAGGACTGGAAACAATAGGTGAAACAGGGAGGATGGAATGAGTCTGCAAAAAGGAATACAATTTGTGTGGTGGGTAATGATTATCAAAGGTTCCAATGTAATCTGCGCAAGCCACCTGCCAGGCAGTGGAAAATTCAAAGTTAGTTTGAATATCTTTAGAACTTAGACTAGTAACAATTTGGTTGGGGTCCATTCCAGAGAGTTGATGACAACGGCCGACGCCCGACGCCCTCGGGTAATCAGTTGTGCAAGCTTATCAAC